TCACAAATGATGATCCCAGGGAAGTGTGGCGATATAAGCATTCTTTTTCAAACATGATGTAAAATAAAGGTAGGAGGTAAGTTCTTAGATATTTTTTTCTTTCAGAAAAAAATAACTTCATGNGCCTTAAGACCCATATTGGTCACAAATGATGATCCCAGGGAAGTGTGGCGATATAAGCATTCTTTTTCAAACATGATGTAAAATAAAGGTAAGAGGTAAGTTCTTAGATATTTTTTTCTTTCAGAAAAAAATAACTTCATGAGAAAGATCTAAAAAGATATTAGCGTGCCATGAAAATGCTTCCTTGGAAGCATACCTAAGAAATGGCAATTCTATGACATTAGATTTCCACAGGCCAGTAAACCCTGGCACTCGCTGCCAAACAGACAGCAGTGAACATGGGCCGCTCATATTCTGGATGCTCCCATTTCCATTTGGTGCCAGCACCGACTTTGGATTGAGGCAAACGGAACTGAGACTGGAGCAGAGAGTCAGGCCCTCGGTGTCCTGAGGATGATGGAGGCAAGGACAGGAACCGAGGAGAAGCCAAGTCTCCACCTTATCTCACTCTCCCAGTCCNAACAGGAACCGAGCAGAAACCAAGTCTCCACCTTATCTCACTCTCCCAGTCCTATGGGGAGCTTCAGTGCAGAAGCCAAGGATTCAGTCTGGGTTCTGCAATTTGCCACATGTATACACCACAGACAGGTATAGATGCTATGTCCTGATTCTAAGAACTTCATTTCACATGTTCTATTTTTTTTTAATAATAAGGAATATATGACACTTGCCTGCAAACATGAAGGTCGCTTGGTAGACATAAATGCACAGTAACATCAGTAACATGCCAGGACTGAGCCTGGAAGACCTTTGAGCTGCTTAGAACACGAAGACTTATCACTCAGACATCCTTGGAATCTCTACCTTCTATGAAAACAGAACCATTTCGTAAAATGCTATCTAAGTTTTGGGGATAACCATTATAGTGATTCAATACTCTGAAGGATGTCCTATACGTATTTACCCTGCATGACTATTTTAAAGAAACCCATTAAAAATCATTGCTTAAGTAACAATCTGGTCTTTGGCTAAGGAGAGATCATGTGTTGCTTAAGTAAAGACCTGCAGAAAAATCTACCAGTTAATTCAAAATACATGCCTGAAATAGTGAAGAGAAATTCTATGAAAATAGTAAAGTTCTGTCTTAATGTGTTTAGTCAATTTTAATCACCAATTGTCTTGCATATTTTTCAACTGTTTCCTTCCAAAGGCTAAAAATGTCTTGTATTTTACAGACAGTATTTTAACATTGCTGCCTGTCACACACATAGGCAAAATGTTTAAAAGCTGCGATGTTTAAATTAAAATAAAACTTATGCTTACAGTGGTAAGTATTCCTGGATTAATAGAGTTGCAGCAGATAGACTCCAAAAATTGACTGAAGTCTGTGATATTAAAAAGACGGAAAATTTATCTAGCTTTAGCAAATGTCAAATCAGCAGCTATTACTTTTAAGATTAATAAAAGATATAATGGTTTCCAGATAGCCTCTAAATAGAGATCACTATGAATGGGGAAGTGATTTACCAACAGTCACCACAATGAGATTTCTTTAAAGGTTACAATCATCAGTTATTTAGCTGAAACACTGCTGAGAATGCCTGGTCATTTCTTGAATAATGCATTATATTCATTGTAGATTTTATCTGTATTATAACAATACAGATATTTCTAAAATAATGGAAAAAACTATCTGTTACCTTCCAATTGCTTAACATACCATTTCCGTGAAGTAATTGACTCAGGACATATTACACACTGTCACCTGGGTGTTCCTTCTGCAAGCATAACTTGTAAATAATCTACACACAATGGGCATCACAAAACAAACTCATCAACCACTATAGACTTTTAAGAAAAGATGTGATGAATTCAGGGCAGAGTAAAGGACCTTTCTGAAGCAGTAAATTAAAATGATTAAATTTCTACATAGTTGTGTGAGACAAATTTAAGTTTAAGCTTTGACATTTAATTATTAACATGAACAACTCATCACATTTTTTAAAATGTTGCCTATAATGTATAAATACTTTTCATATAAATTTCCAAATGCCTTTAGGTTTACTCAAGAGGCTGCTTGGGGGAGCACAATGTATAAGGTCTGTCGTTTTATTGTTGGATTATGAACTGCCCTTCCCGTGATGCTACAGGCTATTTATATAAGCTTGTTTATCCATATGAACTTCTTCAAGGGCACAACATAGAAGACTTTAATAAACTAAAACGAGTTTCTTTGATGTTGTTCCATGAATGTTTGATCAGTAGGAGTAGCAGGTTTGCATTAAAGAACTAGAGTAAAGCAGTAAAATATACATATACTGTGCAGCAGAACCAGTTTACAGAGAGTGCCCATTGCATGCCTAGCGGCTTCTGAGAGTCGGGGTAAACACTATGGAGTCATGACGCTTACAGCCCAGTTTTAGCCTGTCACCGGTTTACTAATAGTGGGAGCAAACGTAACAACTTGGATTCTCTGCCAAAATCCAATGGAAAGTTTACAATAATAAAATCTGTGATCTCCTTCCAGGCTCCTAAACATCCATCCGAGCCTCCTTGCTTTTCTCATTGACATCGCCATGTCTTCACAGACTGAAAACCAAGGGAGCAGAGACCATGTTTGCTTCCCCCCCACACCTTTATCATAATAAGTAGTGAGAGAGTCAAAATGAATTATTAGTCACACCCAAAACTGAAAGAACTCTCACCTATAATGTTTGAGGATGGTGATACAGATCAAGTACCATCAAGTATCATTAGAAATGAATGTGATGTGATAGAAAGAACACTAGAAAGGCCAACAAATGGGATTCTAGTTTTAGATCTGCTCTTAACTGTAAACCCTTTGTACACCGTTTCCCCCCCTGTGAAACGGAGGCGTAGTTCTACATGCTCTATAGTTCTGTATCTCTAAAAGGCCATGATTCTAAGATTAAGAAGGGCTATCACTAAACAGAAGAGTGCAGGGACAAGGGAACCATTCGATTTTTCTGCTTTGGTAGCCACCACTACCAAGAAAAACCTATAAACTACAAACTCCTTCAAAGAAAAATGGAAATCAAGGAAAAGATGATTATCCTAACCAACTTAATACAAGTCCAGGCCCTCAAGCAACATATTTAAAATGTAAAACAGCATTTTGTAGACTGTGTGATTTATAACCCTTTCTGCTTATCCCTCCATCTTGCACAATTTGGAATAAACATGAAGGCAGCCTATTGAATAAGCTCTTCTGTACATAATAAATATCTTCTAGGACTGTATTCACATCTTTAGCCTGGGAACGGGGCAGGCTGCAGGACCAAGCGGCACCTACATTGGGGAGGACAGAGGGCTGTAAAGGACAGCATAAATGTCCCTTGGCTTGTCTGTACTCTGCTGCCCGAAACTCACATCTTGCCCTTGAAGCTGCCTTGGTCCATGCTCTTCTCAACCTGAGTGTCAGTCTTCACTCTAGAGCCAGAGTCTGGGAACTATGGCTTGTGAGTCAGGTCTACTGACAGCTGCCTGCTTTTAAGTACAGTTTTATTAGAACACAGCCACGCCCTGTTGTTTGCATCTGTCCATGGCGGAGTTCATGCTGCAATGGCAGGGCTGAGTTAACCCCCAAAGTCTAAAATATTTACTATATGGCCCTTTGCAGAAAACGTTTGCCAACCCCTGCTCTAGAGGGAAATAACTTGTTACAATTTAAATTCTAACTTTCCTTCTCTATAAACATAAGGAACACAGACCCTAAGTAGCAGTGGCAGAGGCAGGAAAAGACTGACACAGGCACATACGCGTGCAGGGCGTCCCAAAAAATGTATACATGCTTTAACAGCGGATAGCTCAATTTTGAATATGAAATGTATTTTAATAAACACTGCTTTTATAATTATTCAAAATGTGTGTATACATTTTGGGGGGACACCTTATATATGATCACACCTCTGAGCACAGAAGTGTAAACAGCAACTGCCTTTGACCTCTCATTTTAATGTGAATCCTGTAAGGGTTACAGCTCCCCACTAGTACCCTTTCCTACAACAGCCAAGAATAACGGCCCTTCTCCAAAGGTAGCTGTCAAGGTGTCCTCACGTAACTAAAGAAACTAATTCCTCCCCCAGCAGAGGTTGCCTGAAATTCTGCCAAATGTCCAGTTTTACTCCACCCTCATCAAGGATCTAGACACAAGGTTAGGCACAAGAAACCGGCAGATCCCTAAAGTCCAGTGCTTTGAATAACATAACCTTAAGTTAGAAAATCAGTGAGCAACACGTATACATTGATAAACATATGTGTTCATATTAAAATGCTAGAAATGCCATACATTATGAGGAGTTACAGGAACACCCAAGAAATACCTCTCTTAATTATCACAGTGAAAGCCTAAAATTTTAAAATAAGGATTTAAGGGTAACTGCACCAAGGATTTGGAGAACAAGCATATGTTTATATTTGGAACTTCTAGGCAATATGTATAGGGACTTGAAACATTAATACACGGATTGATTTTTTATTAGTTAATAAAATCATTGCTCAAAATGCCTGCTATAGTTTTCTTCCTTCCTTTGGTTACTAAAGACAGAAAATGTTCTCTCTACCCTTTAGCAAATATTCTCATACTCCACCCATCAATAAAAATTTGCATGTATTAGTATAACTTAAATTAAACCCATGAAGCACTTTAATGCGTCATTTCCTTCTCATTTCTCTGAAACCTTATAGAAAGTGATAGAATATTTAGGCTGACAAAGTTTTGAAAAGAAAATAGAAATAGAAGAGTTTCAGTTCACCTTCACATGGTGTCTTTCTGATGCAGAGTTCAGATTTCCACATTTGTGTCCCTTTAAAGGATTTGATATGCAGGGAAAGAAGAAAGGATGGTGGTAAACATTTCATCTCAGAGACAACTACAGGCCACCACACTCCAGAACGACCAGACACTTCAAACTTACCTTTTACTGATGTGTTTGGCGGAGGGCCTTCCATCCGCAAGTTCCACGGAGGGTCCCCCTGGTTAGCAAAGTCCCTCATTTTCAGATAGCTAATTGTAAGTCGAATGATGGACGCCTTGTCGAGCTGGCTCGTGATGGCTGCAGGAAGGGGCAACAGCTTGGCCAATTCATAGAACTCGAAATTTTCTTTTCCCCTGCGGGAGCGAGCAGCATCTCGGGATTTCTCCTTTCTCAACGCTTGTAAACTGAAATCAAAGAAGTGGAAAAGTGTTGTTTAGAACATATGATTTTCTCATCAGATAGAAACTGTTTTTTTATTTCCTCTTTCCCCGGCAAAAAAAGCTCTAGCAAAATCTTCAAAATTCCAGGGGCCATGGTAAAATAAGTTCCAGACGATGTCCACTAAAACCATACATTCTACCTCTGGACTTAAATGCCATAAACTCAAGTGCAATGAGTAAAAAGTTTGCTTATTAGGGTTTTTTCCCCCCAGTGGACCATACATTAATATACGTTCATCGTTTCTTAGACAAGATTTACAGGTGATGCCTGGTGTTTTCAGCTATAAGCAATTTAAAGATCAGGCTTATAGTCACATATCTATTCTCAAGCTTGGTTTTGTTCATTTAACTATTACCCCAATGGGGTCGTAAGCCATCAAAAGGACACATTTTTAAAAATGTATTTCAATGATCACCTCTGGGTAAAAAGGGTAAATAGAAACACAATTCACAGGATCAACAAAGAAAATGTTAATGTGCTTCCAGCCCTGGTAAGGACCAAGACCTTCAGTCAGATAAAGAAGACATCCTGTTAAAGACGAACATTTCACCGTGACTTTAAAAATATTCTGGTAATTAGCTGATAAGTGAATACTTTCATTTTTTCATCAATGGACATACACTAATGAATGGATAGATTCTCTAAAATACTAGAGAAGTCAAACTTTAAGATAATATAAATTTAATGTTGAAAGACAAAGCCCTGTCTGGGTTATTGAAAATTATAAACATTATAGACATATTACTTCACAGAAGAGGCAACAGGTGGGATCCAGCATTTTCCTTTAACTATTCATGTGCATTTCTGTTTGAAGTTTGCTCACATTGCTGAGGGCAGAATCTGGCACCATTGAAGTCGCCTGTGAGCATCTGATGGGAGAATTGCACCTACTCTGAATTGCTCTGTTTTGTGTCTGACAAGGAATAAATTCAAAATCAGACACTGATGATAGGTTCTTGGGCAATATTTACAGTATCCAGGTACTGTGAAAGTCATTTGTAAGTGTCCATTTTATTGAACTCTGAAGACATTTTAAATCTTGAATCCAGCATTCTGGTTTCCCACTGTACAATGAGAAAGAGAAACCAGAAAGGAGGTAAGACCAGAGGAACAGACTTGAATGAGTTTAAAGTGTGGCTCCAATCTCAGTAGTATAATATGGACAAGAACATTCCATACCCCATTAGAGCACGCCTTATATTGTTAATGATGTAAACACTGTATTCACTGCAGATACTCAAAATATCTTATTAAATCTCTATGCCATTTAAGTAACGCCATAATGTTCTGGTCTAATATCCCAAACAGTTTCATGTTTACTCTGTTAATAAAATATTCTACATTATCTAACTAATGTATTTTTCAGAACTAGAAAAGTTACTGCTATCATTTTCAGTCACAGCAGTCTCAGGTGACAAACCTTTTGTTTCTTGGTACTTCCCTAACTTGCAAAGAAAAGATATGCAACTTACTTCCCAATATCTTAGTTGACCTCCATTCAATTCTCTAAATGATGGATGATGGCTTGTTGAAAATTATGTAAATAAAGTGAGAGAAGCCTTAAAATCTGACAAAGTATAAGTCTAACTGAGATCCAGGTTAGCATCTTATAATAACAGAATGATACATATCCCTCCCTCTCTATAATAAAAGCAATCTACCTAACACCATTTAAGTGACCTGTGCCAAAGAACTGACTTTTCATCTGTTTCCTCTGCACTTGTAGAGTGCCCTGGTTCAAGTTCAGTGCTTTGCTCTCTTTGTGTTCTTGTAATCGAATACTACTCCAGAAGGTGGGCTGAACTCACAATTGTTTGGCCCAGTAAGTGACTATGATGGAGCTCTAGAGCAGAGGTTGCAAGCTCAAGGCTCGCAGGGTTAAGGCAGGGAATGTCAATGAGTGAAGAGGCCTGATGGCGACTATGGGGGCCGGAGGACGGCAGTCCAGGCAAAGGGACGCACACATACTTTCAGCCGACTGCAGCTTTGGGGGAAGGCAGGCCTAGTGCTGCCAGATTTCTGATTTTTCTATTTCTGGGGAACAAAAACTGAATTTTTACATGTCATTTCCAATTTTATGTTATGTTTTAATTTTATGTTAGCCAATTAAAATTTTAAAAATTATGCAAGCCCATTAAAATATGCCATTTAGTCAATAATGGAGCAGGGACTCATTTTTCTAATTGGGCAATAATTTGAGAGAACCACTTTTGAAGGTAGTTTTAGCGGATGATATATGTAATTTTCCTTTATACATGTCACTCAAATGATCACAAATGAACTCATTTGTTATCTAATTAATATTACTAATATTCATGCTAGGAATTTCTCAATTCAACTGAAGCAACTAGAGGATTAGGCAATTATTCTGAAATTGATATTAATGCTTATCAATAATCTGAGGAAAAAACTAATCCTACAGGGAGGAAAGGCCAAGATCACAGGGAGCAACCCAATGGGCTCTAAAGCCTAGTAGAGGGAAACGGAATACATGGACAACGATGCCATTTGGTTCCCTGGCTAAGCACTGCCCTGACACTTGACTTTTCCAAAACAGCACTGAGCACAGCCTCCTTTATGTGTTCCTGCCCCACCTTCTTGTCGTGTTTCTCCCCTCCTCCCTTTTTACTCTAACACACGCTGTTACCCCACTGGAGTAATCTTCTTGGCCATAAACTCAATAACAAAGGGTTTCCATGACTTCCACATCACATCATTATGCAGACACCACAGTTCAGAAGACTTTCAGAATGATAGCACTGTGTCATAATAAGTAGTAATTGGTTTTGAAGGCAACAGCAATAAAATACAGTCAAAGGATTATAGAGGTTATAGAGATGCTGACAAAAATAGATGAAGCTAAAGACCTTAAGACAACAGCACAGATTGTGGATTAATCTTTTTGTCTGCTTTTGTGAAGTAGAGCCTAGTTATAAGCAATTTTCAAATTGAATTAAGGACTACATTAAAACCTAAAATAAACTTTGTCTTTATACATTCTGTTCTAAACCAAAAAAATATTTATAGACTACTAAAGAAAGGATGGGTTGTTTGTACATGAGTAAAATGTTGTAGAGCTGATCTCTGCCATCTAAAATATGATTAAATTTCAGATTCTCAATAAGTTACTCCCTGGGCCCAAACTCCCCACTGCTCTCATGCTCTTAGGATCTGGACAGCAGGAAGAAGGGACTTCCTTATGCTCAGCAATAAAAATTTCAACACTCTTTGATGGGCATGTTATCAACCTCACCAAGCATTACCACCAACTAAAGACAAAAAAATCAGCAGCCATTTCAAAAGAGAGACAGATACATATATAGAAAGATAAATAAAATTTGGAAGTCCTATACAAAGTTGTGTGTGTATGTGTACACTTCGGGAAGAAAGTAAATAATTTTACGATTCTCCTTAGGGCTCTTATCTCCCCAGCCCAAAAGGGTAATGATCTAGTATCTACAATTTCCCCTTATAAACCTTATAAAGTTAAATACCCCCTCTTTTCGTCATTGATGTTGCCAGAATTAATTTATCCTACATAAGTATCCTGGGTTTAAATGATATTATTTAATCTATGTTTCTTCTCAACACTTTGAAAGAATTTTTACAAGTTTCTAAAGTTATACCTAAAGCACAGACAAAAAGCAATTAAAAATTTTTACTGGTAATGACAGTGCATGTTGAATGAGAAGGGATTCTTATAATCCTTTTATGAATTTTAGGTCCCTTTGGCAAGTTGTGTGTTTTGTGCGAAGACTCCTGGTGAAGGATTTAGAAGGCCCACCTTGGCCACTTGCCGCCATTGTGATTCTAAATCACAAAGTTGAGCCTCAATTTTATCATTTGATAAAATCAGGATGACAAGCAAGGGCATTTTTGGCAAATTCCCTGGGAATCACTATAAAGGAGTAAACTCCTTGGGCAATTCTAGATTTTAACAATTAAGATAGTTTATAAACTCTAAATGTGATAGAGTCCACTTCAGAATTTTACAACAGAGAATTACAGAGAAAGAGAAGGAAGGGGGGAGGGAGAGAGTGGGGGGGGGGGAGAGACAGACAAACATTAATCTGTTGTTCCACTTACTGGTTGATTCTTGTATGTACCGGGGATTGAACCTGCAACCTTGGCATATTGAGACAATGCTCTAAGTAACTGAGCTACTTGGTCAGGGGTACATCAGAGAATTTTAACAAATTGGAAAGACTCAGAAATGCCCCAAATATAGTCAACGCATCATTAAACTCGGAGCACAGCAGTTAGGAGTTGGGCTCCGTAGCCAGATGGTGGGCATTCACATCATCTTACGGTTACTAGCTGGGCAACCTTGGGTAGGCCTCTCAACCTCTATGGGCCTCAATTTCCTCATTTGGAAAATGGACATTTTAATAGTATCTACTTCACAATATTCTTGAGAGGAGTGATTGAGCTAATGTGTGCAAATTGTTAAATGTCTGTCATACTGTAAATATTACATAAGCATTAACTTTTATTATAATAAATATAAAACTTTTACTGGAAAAGCCCAACTGTTTTAATCCTAGTACCACATCTGATTACCACTCCGTTTCTCCAAAATTCTTTATAATTTTCTTTAACCAAGCTTCTTTTCTACTATCATTTTTTGACTCTACATTTTCTATAATTCAAAATACCTGTTTGCTTTCTTTATTGTCCCGTCAGATTCCTTTCTCTACTGCCACTTATGACCTTCACATTAGTAAATTTAATTTCCCATGTAGTAACAGTAAAAATCAAACCAAGGGAAATAAAATCAGAGGCCTAACTTCTGTTTGATGACAACTAAAAACTGCCTAATTTTTAAATCCCTACCATGTTCTATTAATGATTAGCATCAAGTTCTGTCTGATGGCTTTCTCAGCATGTCTTCCACACTAGCAGAAGGTAGAGGTTAAGTGTGTGGACTGTGGAGCCAGACTGCTTGTATTTAAATCTTGGCTCT